TTTTTTTTGGTACCGGGGATCAAACTCATGTCCTTGCACTTGCAGGGCAGGTGGCAGAACCACTGAGCTAAATCCCCAGCCCTAGAAGGAATTCTTATTAAGTTACCTGTCTCTACTTCAGCTATATCAATAAAATGATCCTCCGAAGCTGATGCCAGCATTTTCCCGTCATGGCTAAAACTGAGGGTCCTCACAGGCCAATCCAGTCTATAACAGGACAGACAAAAAAAGGAGGGTACAATTTTACTAAGGATGAAATAAAATTAATTTACCCAACAAGCAAAGTGCTGGCAGAGTTGCTTACCTGGAGAAGCACCGCACACACACTAACTCATCCACATCCCAGAGACTGACCAAAGCATCTGCACTTCCTGTAGCAAAGTACTTCCCCATGGGGTCAAACTTGATACAGATGCAGTTAGAAGGATGGGCATTGATGGACTGCACAGGCTTCAGTTCTGGGTAGCTGAGAAAAAAGACAAACGACAATTAATGTGCAGAAAAGAACTTGGTGCTAAGAAAACAGAAAACACTGAAGAAAAAAATCAGGACAATAATACAAAAACTGTAATTCAAGAAACTTTCCTGAAATAAAAAAAAAGAGTTCAAGTTATATATGGAAAGAGCCTAACACATACATGAGAATAAGAGCCCAGACCAACCACCCAACATGAAGACACAAGATAGTAAAATTACTCAATTTTAAAGAAAAAGAAAAAGAAAATTGGATTATTAGCAGACTTTTTCACAGCAAGACACTGTGAAATAAAATAGAACAGCATATATTTAAGATAAAATAAGCAAGAAAAGACAAGTCAAGGATTTTTACATCCAGCAAAATAATTACATATAAAGAATACAAATAAACACAAGAAAGTGTAAGTTTTATAAGTATATAAATAAGTTGTAAGAATTCTGGGTATTGCTGAGCATGGTGGCCCACATTTGTAGTCCTAGCATTCTGGAGGCTGAGGCAGGAGGATTACAAATTTGAAGCCAGCCTCAGGTACAAAGTGAGTTCAAGGCTGGCCTGGACTACATAGCAAGATCCTGTCTCAAACAAATAAACCTCTAGGATAATGTTTCCAGAACCCTTCCTAAGGAATATTAATTACACAATTTTGAAAATCAAAATGACTAGAGGCTTATAAGCATAAGAGCTTCTTCTAGAAACCATGCATGGTTAAAAGGGTGTAATATGTAATTGTATATTCTGACAATATACAGTACTATATTTTTAAATGAGGGAAAAATAGAAAAAGTATACACAAAAAGCACAATTTTTACTGTTTAAAGTAATCACACTGTGATTACTGCAGTTTTGTCATTAAGACATCTATATGTGCAGTACGGAATAAAGACAAAAGTAACAATATGATATACTAATTCTGTAATTCCCTGTATTCTTGAGAACCAAAATACAAAGTCTGGTAAGAAAGAAATATATTTATAATACGGAAGAAGTTTAGTAAAAACCTACAGTCCTGAGTTTTTATTAGAAGTTATCATCATGAATTCACAAGGTATTTCATCTTTAAATATGTAAATTTTTAAAATACACACACATGTTCCTGTCTACCAGAGATGCTGAGAAGTCATGACCAACCCAGCAGCAATGGATATCCCTAGCTTCAAGATTATTTTCCCTAAAAAAGAATCTACAGCTGGTTAGAGGATTTTCTGCTTAGGGAATGGGGCAAGAAATACACAAGATGAACCTGGAACATCTTATCCTACCAGCAACCAAGAAACAGAAGATTACTGGGAGTATGTCAAAAAGGGACTCAGAAATGAACTCAAAGAGGCTCTGATTGGCCAAAGATGAGATGATCTGATCTTCAATAAGGATAATTATTACAATACACCACAGCATATTCAACTATGTTTAAGTGCAAATCAATAATGGTTATTTTAAAAAAGAAACCAAAAAACCTAACTGGTCATCTTTGAAGGGGATAGTAAATAAATTCATTATCTGACAATAAACAAGAAAATTTAAGAACTTATCCTGCCTTTCCTAAATGAACTATATTAATGGGTAACCAAATAGTAGATGAAAGAATGTATCACTTTATAAAAGTATTCCAACAAAGAAGCCCATGGAATCAGAACTGTAGACTGGGAGATTCTCCACTGGTTAACAGTCTTGGTTTCAGTACCTAAATTGGAGGGGAAAAGAATGAAACTGAGCAGGATCCTGTAGTCTAACAGACTCAAAAGACCTACCAATTTTTTTTTAAATGAGCAAAATTAGAGTATCTAAGGATGTAGTCTTAGTAAATAAAACTATAAAGAAACACTAAAAAAGTCAAGATAGCATTTGAGGGAGAGAGTTGTAATTAGGACAAAACATATGGATGGACATCTGAGGTGGCTGGAAAGTACTATTTCTTGATCTGGGTGGAGATAAGCATATAATATTCATTAACCTATGCATTTATTAAATGTAATTTTAATAATAATAATTTTAATAATAACAATAAATAATAAAAATGTTGTTTTTTAAGTTATAGAATCCCTACTGCCTAAAAAATAAAATCCATGTTGACAGGTATAAAACTTAAGACCTTTTATACTTTGGTCACAAATTCAACTTTATATTCCCTTTATTATGCTCTCTTCGTATACCCTGTCACCTCACCTCAACAACCCTGACCTAACTACTCCCCAAATATGTCATGCTCATTCACACCTTTTTTGTCAGCTGGGTACTTCCCATTTGCTGATTCTTAAATTCTATTCACCTTTCAAGATCAAGCTCAGAAGCTTCCTCTTTCAACCGCCACAGTCATTATGATATGGTCTTTTTTGGAATTCCATAGTAAACTTTTTTGCCTTTCTAGCACAGAACCTATCTCACTCTGCCTTCCACTATTCACTGGGACAGTAATAAGGACAGAATTGCATTTCAATTCCATAATTTCATTAATTTAGGTATCTTCCCAAAATCATACCACAGCGATATATGTGCACCCATGTTTATAGCAGCACAGTTTGTAATAGCTAAAGCTTGGAAACAGCCCAAGTGCCCATCAACTGGAGACTGGATAAAGA